CAAGGAAACTTCCTTTCAACTGACTGGCTACTCACAGCAGATCCCATCATGGGAGTGATCACATATCAAATCTCAACATGGAAGTGATCACAACATTATACGACTGCCAAAACACTGAGAATCGTGGCCCAGCCAAGTTGACACACAGTCTTAACCATCACAGCGGTCATTGGTGGTAGCCGGGCACCATTTAGTTCTTCTGGTCTCAGGCTGGTGGAATCTCTGGTTCATTTAGTCTTTTCGTCCTTTGGGCTAGTATTTTCCTTGTGTGTTTGGTTTTCTTCATTCTTCTTTGCTCAGAATGGGATGGGATCAATGATGTATCTTAGATGGCCACTTGCAACTTTTAAGACCCCAGACGCTACTCATCAAAGTGGGACGTAGTCAAAGCAGACATTCTTTACTAGTGAAGCTAAACTATTGTTTGGTTTTAAGAAGACTTCAGGGGATCTTTTTGTTTTTCCTCTTTATTTTTATGAGTAGGTTTTTTAACTTTCTATGTGGTTACCGTGAAATTTACCCCTATCTTTCCAAGTTTGAAGCAGTCTATTATTACTTGGTATCACCTTGCCCTCCTCTCCATTAGAAGGTTCTATACCTACACCGTTTATTCCCTCTTTTGTTGTTCTCATGTTGTTGCCATCTACAGATTAACTGCTCTGATTCATTGTTGTATTTCTTTTGGTTTTGGATAGTCCTTGAGAGTTCATTTCCTAGATTGGTATCTCGCTGGTATGATCCTGTGTCCTAGATTCAGCCTGTGAGCTGAAGTTGTTTGTTCTCATATCAAAGGACTCCCTTTAATAATTCTTGTAAATTTGGTTTGTTTTTTTTACATATTCCCTTAATTTCTGTTTATCTGGAAATGTCCTAATGTCACCATCATATCTGAACGAGAGTTTTGCAGGATATATTATTCTTGGCTGGCAATTTTTTTCTTTCAAGGTTTTATATATGTCATCCCATTACCTTCTTGCCTGCATGGTTTCTGCCAAATAATCTGAGCTTAATCTTATTGTTTCTCCTCTGTATGTGACTTCTTGTTTTTCACAAGCTGCTCTCAGGATTCTTTGTTTGTCTGTGGTTTTGGTGAGTGTGATTATGATATGCCTTGGTGACTTTCTTTTGGGGTCTATCCTATATGGAGTTTGTTGAGCTTCTTGGGTCGCCAGCTTTTCATCTTTCATGATATTGGGGAAGTTTTCTGTCAGCAGTTCTTCAATGATCTTCTCTGTGTTTTCTGTTTTCTCCCCTTGTTCTGGAACTCCAATCACTCGAAAATTTTTCCTTTGATTGTATCCCACATAATTCTCAGGGTTTCTTCATTTTTCTTCATTCTTTTTTCTGAGTTTTCCTCAAACAGAGTTGTAGCCAGGTGTTTGTCTTCAATTTCGCTGATCCTGTCTTCCACTGTTTCAAATCTGCTTCTCAGACCTTCTATGACATCATCCATTTCTGAAATCTTGTTGTTTATCTTTTGGATTTCTAATTGTTGTTTTTGTATGAGTTCTAGTTGTGAATTTATTTTGGCATTTTGTTCCTGAATTCTTCCATTTTTTTGGTCTGGATTTTCCATGAATTTGTCTGGCTTTTCTATGAATTTGTCTATTTTTTCCTCATTTTTGTCTGCTTTTTGCTTCAACTCTGGGATAATTCTGTGTATTAGAGATTTGAATTCTCTATCAGGTAATTCTAGTGCCTTTTCTTCTACGGAAAAGTCACCTGGTGTTTTATTTGGGATGCCTACTGCAACCATCCTGTCCTGTTTTTGTAAATGTTTTGATATTGTCTGCTGTCTTTGGGGTATTCAGTAGTTATTTTTCCCGTTTTTTGATTGTAGACTTGTTTGTTTTGCCCTTTTCTTTCGTTTTATTTGGCTATGTCAGAGCAGGCAGGCTGTGTGTTCTTTGTCGTTTGCTTGTCTGTGGACATGATACTTTTTTCCTCCTCCAAAGGGCAGGGTCAGTTGCTCAGATATGGTACAGCAGGGCAGGTCTAGCTGAAGAGGAGTTTCTGGGATGGGTTGTTTGTGGCACTTACTGTGGCCACCAGGGCGGGCCAGTACGCAGTGCAGGGCAGGTTCCGGTAGGCCATGCCTGTGCTGCTTAGTGGTGTGATGTTAAGCGCGCAGTGAAGGTAGGCAGGGTGGAGGGGGGATATTGTGATGTATGGAGCTAAGATGGGTATGGGAGAGAGGAGAGAGGAACAGGCACCAAACACATACAAACAAACAAAAAAGAGTGCTAAGGGAGCTTGCCATTGGAGTGGAGAGATGAGTGACTATGAAATGGAGCAAAACAAAAAGGAGAAGAAGAATTAAAAAAAGAAAAGAGAAAAATGAATAAATAAAAATTAGAAAGAAAAAGAAAAGAAAAGCTCCCAGGGATCCCACCGGTGTGGCTACAAGTTCTGGGGAGGTTGCTCCCAGGCGTTGAAGTACAGCCTGGCTAGAAGGCATAGAGGTGTCACTCAGCAGCAGGTATTCAGGGGACAGGAAGAGAAGGAAGGTATAGAGAGATGAGAAACTGAGTAATGAAGAGAGACAAAAAGGGAAAAAGAGGGAAAAGAAAACAAAACAATTAAAAAAAAAAGAACCCCCCCCCAAAAAAAAACAGAAAAAAAAAAAACACAAAAAAAGAAATGCCCTTAGGAATTCCTCTGTGCATCTGTGTAAACTGAGGGGGGTAGTTCCCAAGCTGCACAGTATTGCCCAGCTAGAATGGGCTCCCAATTCGAGAAAAGAAAAAAAAAAAAACAAAGAAACAATTCAAAACAAACAAACAAAAAAGCCCCGGGATCCCACCAGCATGGCAGCATGGGTCGGGAAGCAGTTTCACAGTCGAGTGGTGTTTCACAGCCTTCAGGAAGAAGCAAAGATGGCACATGGAGCCAGGTATTTGAGAGAAAGGAGGGGGAGGTGGTGAGAGGTAAGGAAGAAATCAAAAGAAGCGGAAAAAAGGAACATGAGCAGCCAACAAATGGCACTCAGGGAGTCAGCCAGTGCGGGTGGGTGGAATCCAAGCAGCTGGTGCTTCCTGGCCAAGAGAATGTGGCCGCGGGAAGCAGAGGAGGCCGAGTGGGGGTGAAGAAGGGTGGGGGGTGGGAAAGCACATATCACTGGTTGCCAGTTATTCTGTCTCCTACTGGAAGCTCTGTGAAGCTGCTTTCTCATGCTCCCTTTTCGCTGGTCTCCAATAGGAGTCCAAGATGGTGAATCCGCGCTGTGTTAGCTAATAGGGGGCCTCTGCATGTATGTCTTCTTGCTCTCTGTTCTCTGCCAGTTTTCTCACTCTATTTGGTGCTTGGCTGAGTTCTTTATATTTTCGTTTGATGCTTAGGGTTTCAGGATTGCTGTTTTCTCTGTTTGGCTTAGTTTTTCGGATCTTTGCTGGGGAGGGATGGCGTGGTGCTTCTGCCTAGAGCACCATGTTGCCCGAAAGTCCCTTGAGGGGATATTTTTGGATTAAGGTTTAAAGATTCTCAGAGCAATAGTTTCAGGGGTTCATCCAGGCTCCATGGCTCCAGAAAACCTGGATTCCATGAAAATTTGAAAATTTGTTCTACATTTTCTCCCTTTTGATCAGGATTCTGCTATAGAATCTTTGATCAAAACGTTTAGTAATGGTAGCTGGGCACCATCCAGTTCTATTCTCATGGCAAAGCAGGCAGTTTGTTCATAGAGGCAATTAGCCACACATTCCATCAGGGGCCTAACTACAGACAATAGCGCCTAGGACAATTAGTGTTAAATTGCTGAATGATCTCTCAAAGCTGGCGATGGAAACTGTGATGGCCAATAGAAACTGCCAATTGGCGCCCCGCCTAAAGAGGCTCCCAGGACATGCACACGGACACCCAGCTCTCCTCCCGTCCTAGTTCAAAAACCAAAAAACCAAAACCGTTGCCATCCAGTTGATTCCAACTCACAGCGACCCTGTAAAACAGAGTAGAAGTGCCCCGTCGGGTTTCCAAGCAGTGGCTGGTGGATTCAAACTGCCAACCTTTTGGTTAGCAGCCATAGTTCTTAACCACTGCACCACCAGGAATCCTCCCTCGCCCTCCAGTTAGGTCTCTGCATTCCATTTTCTCCTCCTATTTCTGACTCTCTTTCTTCCTCTGTTTCTCCAGGTGATTAGAGACCAATTGTTATGCCTTGATGGCTGCTTTCAAGCTTTTAAGACCCCCTGGGCACTATGCAATGGACTAGGAGGTAGAACAGAAGCACTAAACATGTTATTAGGCCAATTAGCTGGGGTGTCCCATGAATCCATGACCCTAAATCTCCAAAGCAAGAAACCGAATCCCATGAAGTGTTTGGTTGTACATAAGCAGCCTCAGCAGCTGCTCTTTTTGTTGTTATTGTTGTGAATATATCTATCACACAATGTTTGCCAATTCAGTTTTTTACAGGTGTACAACTTATTGACAGCCATTACATCTCTTGATGACTAATGATGTTGAGCATATTTTCATGTGTTTGGTGGCCATTTGAATGTCCTCTTTGGTGAAATGTCTATTCAAGTCCTTTGCCCATTTTTTGGTTATTTTTCTTTTTGTTGTTAAGTTACATTTTACAGCAATTTTTTGAAGACTTGAAAAAACTATATAAATTCTTTTTCCTGTAGATTGAAAAAGAGGAAAGGACTGCTATTCTCACTTTCAAAAATCCTAAGAGTCAAAAGTACCCAGATTCCTTGAGTGGAAAAAGTAACTGACAGACATGAGTTGGAATTTCTGTCTTCCATTGTCTTTGGCATGAAGTGGGTTAATATAATAAGGTAGACATGTGAATTCAATTATAACACATTCTTACATTCTTATGGCCCAATTCTGAGGATGTTTATTAGACGAGTCTTGGTTTGTAGTTTGAATAATTATATTTCCCATCCCCAAAATTAATACAATAGAAAGTAGTCTATTTAAAATGTATTCAGGGCAGAAGACTTGAACCAATACTATACACAAGAAAGGATCTAAATGGTCAATAAGCACGTGAAAAGATGTTCAACCTCATTAATCATCAGAGAAGTCATCAGGAGACCTCCAGAAAATCGGGTTGCCGGGGAGGGACAGACCTTGTGGTTTCACCTGGCCTCAAGCTCCCAAGAGCAGGAGGTTGCAGGGGACAGTGTCATCTGAGGGAGCTTCGGGAAGAGCTTGGGAGCGATCAAATGGAGAAGCTTAAGAAGGAAGAGCCTGAAGATCCCTCAGAAGTGTTCACAGTGTTGTGTATGCATGTGCATGCATATTTCTGGGTGAAGGGTTCACAGTTTTCACTCTGTAGACCGCTCTCTAGACCCGTGGAATCAGTCTGAAACGCTTAGGAGCTTCTGGCCTAGATGATCGTCGAAGTGTCAGGGAGTCTCGGCAGATCAGCCTCGCCTTGGGCCTCAGTATCTCTCCGTGTGGATTAGGGAAGACAGACAAGGGAGCTCCGAGATTGCTCTGACCCCTCCCACGGAAGCAGAGGTCCACCCTCAAAGCCCCCAGCCCTGGGAGCAAACGGGCAGCCGCAAGTCGGAGGGCGAATGGGTGGGAGCATGCTGCCCTCCAGCCCCACCAAGAGCCCTGGCTGCTCAACGGCCGACGCGGGGACGCGGTGGAAGGTGTGGCGAGGGCTACCAGCCCGTGTGGGCCAATCCAGAGGAGAAGGCGGACACGTTCCGCTCCGGAGCTCCTAAACCCCGCCAGACGCGCGCCCGCGCCAGACGCGCGCCCGCGCCAGACGCGCGCCCGCGCCAGACGCGCGCCCGCGCCAGACGCGCGCCCGCGCCAGACGCGCGCCCGCGCCAGACGCGCGCCCGCGCCAGACGCGCGCCCGCGCCAGAGAATGATGCTCAGCGTCTGCGGCCTGCTTTGCGCCGGGGCCCTGGGTGAGTGCGGCGCTGGGAGCCAAGTTGGGGGCCGGCCCTTCAGGGTGCTCCGGGGAGGGGTCCAGGGGCCAGTAGTGGGTCCGCCACAGCGGGAAACTGCGGTAACCAGCCGGCCTGGCTGTCCAAGGGATCCCGACGCAGCCGAGCGCCCCTCTGACCCCAGAGTGCCTTCCTTAGGTGCACTGACGCTTTGGTCCTCAGAGAAACCCGGTAACCTAGGGCAGGGGTTTGCAAACTATGGGCAGCGGGTCAAATCCGGCCTGCCGCCTGAAACATACAGCAGAATGCTCTAGCAATGGTTTTTACATCTTTAAATGGTTGAAAAAAAAAATCAAAAGAAGAACAATATTTTGTGACACATGAAATTATATGCAATATAATTTCTTCGTAGGAGAAAGATGTGGCAGTCTGCTTCCATAAAAATTACAGCCCTGGAAACCCCATTGGGCAGTTCTGCTCTGTCCTATAGGGTCACTGTAAGTGGGAATTGGCTCGATGACAGTAGGTTTGGGCTTTTTTTTTTTTTTGGTTAGCCCTTTATGGAAAAAGTTTGTTGAGCTCTGGTACAAAGGCCATGAATTCCTTTTACAGTTAAGGAACAGACACAGAGATTTTCCCCCAGTGTTATTAAGTGGTGGGGCCACTGTGGAGTGTCTGGCATGTAACTAGAGGCACTCTTCTTGCTTCCTGCCCTGAACTGAACAGCACCTTCCACTCTAGCAGTTGTCTCTCTCTCTCTTTCTCTCTCTCTCTCTCTCTCTCACACACACACACACACCAGGGAGGTAGACAGGTGTAGCAGAAAAACAATGGCCCTGAAACCAAACCCACCAGCCCATTGCTTGTGAATATGAGTGGTCCCCTTACCTCTCTGAGCTGGTTTCCTTATTAGTTCACTAGGAATCACCTTTAAACAATAAGCACAAGAGTTGCTGTGAACGTGAAATGAAACAATGTACCTAGTGGTGGAGCTCTAGGCACAAGTGAGTTATCACTGGTAAATACCCTGCAAATAAATACAGAGGCTCTTTCATGTGTTGGGGTGGTGAGGGGGTGCTCCTCCATGGCTCTTAGCTGGGATATTGTGAGGAAGGTAATGGTGCAAAGTCAGTTTGCTCATGTACATCAAGAGTTCTCCCAGCCTCAGCAACTGTTGATTCTGTCTAGCCCTTGTTGCCCAATTAGGGTCCGTGCCCTGGAGCAGTCAAGCCAATGAAAAACATCCTCCAAGTCAGAAAGAGAGAAAGTTTATTAAGAGATGACACCAACGGGCAGTCCAGCAGCAACGCAGGCTGTCTTTATGGAGTTCTGAAAAGCCATTTCTATATCAGAGCTTATATATAATTTTTGCAAGGATTATGTAGCCCATGGTTGGATGAGTATACATAACACAACAACTACAAGAAACTCTTTATTAACTAAAGATATGCATGCTGGACATCTGGACTGTAATCTGTATGTTTGTAACAGGCAAAAAAACATATAAAAATCCCTCGGCTGGTAAAACTGGCCTGCCAAGTTTACTCTAACTGAGATGAGGAGCAAGAAGAAAGTTACAGACCAAAATAGCCAGGCAGCCTTCCTAGCTGCCGCCTTGCAGGCTGAAGGCCATCTCCCAAAAGAACAAAGAAAAGGAGGGAGACCAAGGCCGCAAGAGCCAAGAAGTCCCCACACCCCTTTGGAAAGAGACCAGTGCAGCTAGTATAATAAAAAAGGACATTGAAAGTGAGAGTGTACAAAATGCCAAGCAGAAAAAACCTCATAGGTTACTTAGAGTATCATTATGTCGCCCGTTTTGAAAAGGAAAAAACATGTTGTGAGCTATTAAGGTCATGCCCTGGCTCTGTCACGTCTCAGGATGTTGTAAATAATTTGTGCGGTAGGATATTATATATGGGAAACAGATCAAGACAGAAGGAGGAGAGGGCAAGAGGTGCAAAGTGACTTGATGGCTCCTTCATGACCCAGCACGGTCGCATGGAGGCACACAGTGAGCTCTGCTGGGGCTGGAGGAGGCCAGAAAGGAAGAGCACAGCTGTGGTCCAAGTAAATCACAAGGAAACCCAGAGCACAGCCCCTCTGGCCTCCTTTCCAAATTCTTCCTGAGTAGGACTTGTATTGTTTGTTCTTTCTCCATCTCCTCTCCTGGCAATGGCAGGTGCTGATTGAAAGTCCATTTTCCCAGTCGACTCCTGGTTTACCAACCAGAGGTGAAAGTGGCCCCTCTCTGCCCCATCCCCCACATTTCCTCCCTCTTGGCTGGAGTGTGGAACATGCTTTCTTCAAGGCTCAGTGTTCTAATCCAATAAGTACTCTTCTGGTGACAAATGACAGAAACCCAGCCATACTATCTTAAACTAAGAAGGCCAAGGTGTTGGGGTTGGGGGTGGAGATTGTTATTGGAATGCCCTGCAGGAGCCAGAAACCAAGGGCTCTGACACCTTGGCCTCTACTTCCTTTCTCAGCATATTGCTCTTCTAGGGTTTAAGAGCTTTCTCCATGCAGTGAGCATGTGATCACTAGCAGGCTCTCCTTTCCAGGGTCTGTTTGAAATACTCACAGTGGGCTCTGATTGCCCCTTCTTGAAACTGTCACATGGTTATTCATGATTGGCCTAGTCTAGGTTACTTAACTCCCTTTACCCTTGGCTTTCTCTCTTTTTATTTTTAAAATAATTTTTTATTAAAGTATAATTTACATGTAAGAAAATGCACCCATTTTAAGTCTATATACATGTCTTAGTTACCTAGTGCTGCTATAATGAAAAATACCAGAAGTGGGTGGCTTTAAAGAACAGAAATTTCTTTTTTTTACAGTTCTGGAGGCTAAAAGTCCAAATCAGGTCCTTGGCTGTGTCATTTTCTTCTGTGGGCCTATCTCCTAGTTTCTGGTGTCTCCCGGCAGTCCTTGGTGTTCCTTTCCTAATAGATAGGTCCTCGATTGGAGTCTGTCTTCCCCCTGTGTGTGTGTCTCTGTCTGTTCCTCTCTTTTAACAGGACACTACTCAGAAGTGATTAGGTTTAGGACCCACCCTTCTCTAGTATAGCCTCATTAGCATAACAAGAGAAAACTCTGATTTCCAAACTGGGTCGTATTTACAGATACAGGGGTTAGGATTTCCTCATTTCTTTTGTGGGGACACGCTTCAATCCATAACATTACAGTTTAATGAATTTTGCCAAATATGGTATAACCATCCATGTAGCCACCACTTCAGTCAAGATATAGAATATTTCCATTACCCCCAAGCTTCCCCACTACCCCTTCCCAGTCAATCCCACTTTCTGTCACTATAGATGAGTTTTACCTTTTCTAGGATTTCACATAAATGGAATCACATAGTACATAGTCTGGTATCTGGCTTTTTTCACTCAGCTTAATTGTTTTGAGATTCATCTGTGTTGTTGCCTGTATCATAGCTCATTCCTTTTTATTGCTGAGTAATATTCCAGTATATGGCTATACATAGTTACTTTACCCATTTCTTTTTTTTTTTTTATTATACTTTAGATGAAGGTTTACAGAACAAACGAGCTTCTCATTAAACACTTGGTACACATATTGTTTTATGATATTGGTTAACAACCCCATGACATGTCAATACCTTCTTGACCTTGAGTTCCCTATTACCAGTTTTCCTGTCCCCTCCTGCCTTCTAGTCCTTGCCCCTGGACTGGCATGCCCCTTTAGTCTCGTTTTGGTTTATGGGCCTATCTAATCTTTGGCTGAAAGGTGAACCTCAGGAGTGACTTCATTACTGAGCTAAAAGGGTGTCTGGGGGCCGTACTCTCGGGGTTTCTCCAGTCTCTATCAGGCCAGTAAGTATGGTCTTTTTTTGTGAGTTAGGATTTTGTTCTATATTTTTCTCCAGCTCTGTCTGGGACCTTCTATTGTGATCCCTGTTAGAGCAGTCAGTGGTAGTAGCCGGGTACCATCTAGTTGCACTGGACTCAGTCTGGTGGAGGCTGTGGTAGCTGTGGTCCATTAATCCTTTGGACTAATCTTTCCCTTGTGTCTTTACTTTTCTTCATTCTCCCTTGCTCCCGAAGGAGTGAGACCAATAGCGTATCTTAGATGGCCAGTTACAGGCTTTTAAGACCCCAGACACTTCACCAAAGTAGAATGTAAAACATTTTTATAAACTATGTTATGCTAGTTGAGCTAGATGTTCTATAGTCACCACAGCCCTCAGCCCAGCAATTCGGTCCCTCAGGGAGTTTGGATGTGTCTATGGAGCTTCCATGACTTTGCCTTGTACAAGTTGTACTGTCTTACCCTTCACCAAAGTTACCACTTATCTATAGTCTATTTAGTGTTTTTCTGTCCTGCCCCCCACCCCGTAACCATCAAAGATTGTTTCTATGTGTAAACCTTTTCATGAGTTTTTATAATAGTGGTCTCATACAGTATTTGTCCTTTCATGATTGACTTATTTCACTCAGCATAATGCCCTCCAGATTCATCTACGTTGTGAGATGCTTTGCAGATTTCATCATTGTTCTTTATCGTCGTGTGATACTCCATTGCGTGTATGTACTATAGTTTGTTTATCCATTCATATGTTGATGAGCATCTAGGTTGTTTCCATCTTTTTGCTATTGTGAACAGTGAACATGGAAGTGCATATGTCTATCCGTGTGACAGCTCTTATTTCTCTAGGATATATTCCTAGGAGTGGGATTGCTGGATCATATGATATTTCTATTTCTAGCTTTCTAAGGAAGTGCCATATCATTTTCCAAAATTGTTGTACCATTTTGCGTTCCCATCAGCAGTGCATAAGAGTTCTTATCTCCCATCAGCCTCACCAACATTTGTTGTTTTCTATTTTTTTGATTCGTGCCAGTAATGCCAGGGTAAGATGGTATCTCATTGTGGTTTTGATTTGCATTTCTCTGATGCTAGTAATGTCGATCATTTCCTCATGTGTCTGTTGGCTGCTTGAATGTCTTCTTTGGTGAAGTGTCTGTTCATTTCCTTTGCCCATTTTTAAATTGGATTATTTATCTTTTTGTTGTAGATCTTTGTCTGATTTGTAATAGCCAAAATTTTTTCCCAGTCTGTAGGTTCTCTTTCTACTCCTTTGGTGAAGTCTTTTGATGAGCATAAGTGTTTAATTTTTAGAAGATCCCAGTTATCTAGCTTGTCTTCTGGAGTTTGTTTGTTGTTAGTTATGGTTTGTATCCTGTTAATGCCATGTGTTAGGGCCT